GTCGACCCGCCTCGTGAAACGCCCCGTGAAATATCTGCGAACGACTCGCCTGAAAATCTCCTGAAAACCCATGCGACATCCGACCGTCGTCGCGGCGTGTCTCGCCTCCACGGCGACCGCCTACGGCCCCGAAACGCTTTCGAATGAAACGGCCAGCCCGACCTCGGCGCCCGCGCCCGTGTCCGCGTTCGAGTCGCGAGAGGAGCTCCTCGACGCGATCGAGCATTGGTACGACGACGAGGGCCACGCCGACGGCTGGTGGCGCGGCGAAGACCGCTACGGCCCCATCGGCGCCTGGGACACGTCGCGCGTCGCGGACATGAGCCGCCTCTTCTGCTACGCGGACTACTGCTGGCCGCACTCGCACGTCGGAGCGATGACGTTCGACGAGGACATCTCCGGCTGGGACACGTCGCGCGTGACGGACACGTCGTTGATGTTCCGCGGCGCGAACGCCTTCGACCGGGACGTCGGCGCCTGGGACACGTCGTCCGTCACGGACATGTCCTACATGTTCCGCGGCGCCGACGCGTTCGACGGCGACGTGGGCTCGTGGGACACGTCCGCGGTCGCGAGCGCGGTGCAGATGTTCAAGGACACCTACCGCTTCGACCAGGACCTGTCGCAGTGGGACGTCTCGCGCCTCGCCGACATGCGGGACATGTTCGCGCACGCGGCGGCCTTCGACCAGGACCTGAGCGCGTGGTCCGTGCCGTGCCAGGCGATGTATTTTCACGGCTCCGCGTGCGAGGAGGTGTCATGCGGTTTGTGGTGCGGCGGCGACGACGACTACGTCGCGGAGGACGACCCGGACATCACGCTCGTGTCCTTCTTCCTCGCCGCGACCGTGTCCATCCTCGCGAGCTACGCGATCATCTCGTGCTTCGTCCGGTTGCGGAGCTGCGGCAGCAAGGGGCCGGGCGGCGCGTCCGTCCACCCCATGGACCCCCCGGACATCGACCTCTGGGAGGACCACCCCGCGCCGGCGCCGCCGCCCGTCTCGTCCGGCGGCGTCGCGTCGCGCTGGGGCGCGCTGCGGCGCGCCGCGGCAATTGGCAACCACGAATGAAATCACAATACATGTGCTTAGTCTGTTTAGAAGAGAAAGTAGCTCTGGGCGAGCGGCACGGCCGTCGCCGGGTCGCAGGTGAGGGTCTCGCCGTCCGCCTTGACCTCGAAGGTCTCCGGGTCCACGGTGATGTCCGGCGTCGCGTCGTTGAGGACCATGTCCTTCTTGCCGACGGTCCTCGTGTTCTTGACCGCCGCCGTCGACTTGGAGAGGCCGTAGAGGTCCTTGACGCCGCGGTCGTGCGCCGCGCGCGACACGAACGCGAGCGACGTGTCGCCGACGGCCTTGCCGAGCGCGCCGAACATGGGGCGCATCTTCACCGGCTGGGGCGTCGGGATGGACCTGGGCGAGGGACGAGGTCGGTTGCAAAAACGGGGAAGGGGACGCGGCAACCGGACGCGTTCGGGTCGCCCATCTGGGCCCAGGCGATGGCCCCGCCCTTGATGACCATCTCGGGCTTGGCGCCGAAGTGGCTCGGCTTCCAGAGCACGAGGTCCGCGAGCTTGCCGACCTCGACGCTGCCGATGTGGTCGGACATGCCGTGGGCGATGGCCGGGTTGATCGTGTACTTGGCGACGTAGCGCTTGACGCGCGTGTTGTCGTCGCCGGCGGCCGCGTCTTCGGGCAGCGGGCCGCGCTGCTTCTTCATCTTGTCCGCGGTCTGCCACGTGCGCGTGATGACCTCGCCGATGCGGCCCATGGCCTGGGAGTCGCTGGAGATGATGGAGATGGCGCCCGTGTCGTGCAGGATGTCCTCCGCGGCGATGGTCTCGCCGCGGATGCGCGACTCGGCGAACCTGCGAACGCGCGCGGGTCGGCGGTAAAACTCCGGGGGGGGGGGGGGGGGGCGAACCGACGGCGAGAGCCTCGCCGGGCGGCGCGAAGAAGGGACGCGGGAAAACCGACGCGACGTCCTCGGGGATCGACTTGTCGAGGTGGTGGCAGACCATGAGCATGTCGAGGTGCTCGTCGATGGTGTTGACCGTGAAGGGCCGCGTCGGGTTCGTCGAGCTCGGCAGCACGTTCGGCTCGCCGCAGACCTTGATGATGTCCGGCGCGTGGCCGCCGCCGGCGCCCTCGCTGTGGTACGTGTGGATCGTGCGCCCCTTGATGGCCCCGAGGCTGTCGTCGACGAAGCCGGACTCGTTGAGCGTGTCCGTGTGGATCGTGATCGCGACGTCGTTCTCGTCCGCGAAGGTCAGGCACGCGTCGATGGCCGCGGGCGTCGTGCCCCAGTCCTCGTGGAGCTTGAGGCCCGCGGCGCCTGCGCGAGCGACGTCTTCGCGCGCGAAAGAAAAACGCGGGACGCCGCGAACGCGCCGGCCTCGATGACCTCGAGGAGCCCGCCCGGGTCGCTCGTGTTGCCCTTGCCGGAGAACCCAAAGTTGAGCGGCAGGTCGTCCGTCGCCTTGAGCATCATCTCGACCTCGCTCGGCGCGGGCGTGCACGTCGTCGCGCAGGTGCCGGACGCGGGGCCCGTGCCGCCGCCGTACATGGTCGTGAGGCCCGACGCGATGGCGTCGTCGCACTGCTGGGGGCAGATGAAGTGGATGTGCGTGTCGACGCCGCCGGCCGTGACGACGAGCTTCTCGCCCGCGATGGCCTCCGTCGTGACGCCGACGGTCATGCCCGGCGTGACGCCGTCCATGACGTCCGGGTTGCCCGCCTTGCCGACGCCGACGATGCGGTTGCCCTTGAGGCCGATGTCGCATTTCACGACGCCGAGGACCGCGTCGACGACGAGCGCGTTCGTGATGACCGTGTCGAGGGCGTCCGCGGCCGCGCAGCCCGTCTGCTGGCCCATGCCCTCGCGGAGCGTCTTGCCGCCGCCGAACTTGCACTCGTCGCCGTATGACGTGAAGTCCCGCTCGACGCGCACGGACAGCGCCGTGTCTCCCAGGTGGACGACGTCGCCGACCGTGGGCCCGTAGAGCTCCGCGTAGTGGGACCGCTCGAGCTGCAGCGGCTCGCCCGGCGCGGACCCGGCGTCCTCGTGGCCGAAGCCGCGCGCGGTCACGCGGGCCATGACCTCGTCCTTGCGGTCGGCCGTCGCCGCGCCGTCGGTCAGCAAGTTTCCGCTGCGCACGACCCGGGCGCCCGCGATGTCGACCAGGCTCACGACCTTGCGCTCGCCCGGCTCGAAGCGCACGGAGCTCCCCGACGGCACGTTGAGCCGCCGGCCGTAGGCCTCGCCCCGGTCGAAGACGAGGGCCGCGTTCGTCTCGATGAAGTGGTAGTGGCTCCCGATCTGGATCGGCCGGTCGCCCGTGTTCGTCACCTTGACCTCGACGACCGCGCGGCCCGCGTTCAACGTCACCGCGCCGTCGCCGCAGGCGAACGCGCCCGGCGCCGCGGGCGCGGCCGCGTCGCCGAAGGCCGCGAGGTCCGGCGCCGGCAGGCAGGACCCGTGGAGCGCCAGATCCAAATCGCCGTCGAGGGCCGAGATGGGGTGGTGCACCGTGAGGAGCTTCGTGCCGTCGGGGAACGTGCCCTCGACCTGGACCTCGCCGACGACCTCGGCGACGCCGGGTAGCACCTGGCGGCGGCCCAGGAGCCGCTGGCCCACGGTCATGAGCTCGGCGACGGACGCCCCGTCGCGGATCTTCTCGAGGCACACCGTCGCGATCAGCGCCGTCGCCTCGGGCTGGTTGAGCTTGAGGCCCCGGGCCAGGCGCTTCTGGGCGAGAGCCCCCACCTGGTGGAGCTGCAGGTGGTCCGCCTCGCGCGGCGTGAGGTGGAGGCGCCGCTTTTGGAGGAGTCGGAGCGGCGCGCGCCGCGTGAGCGCCAGCATCGCGTCCATCCGCCGGAGCCGATCGGGCAGCCTCAATCGACAAGGAAGGCGCCAAGGTGGCTTCTCGGGTTGATGATGCCGATTCTTGATTTTGTGGGAGCCTGCCTGAGCCTGAGCCTGTGGCAAGGCTGTAATCCAGGCCGATGGACGAGTGGCGCGCCGTCGCCATCGACACGCTCGCCGGCTGGGCCGCGGGCGTCGTGTGCACGGTGGCCTTCCAGCCCGTGGACACGGTGCTCACGCGCCAGCAGTACGAGGTGCGCGCCGCGGGCGCGGCGAGCGTCGTGCTGCGCCAGGGCGGCCTCTGGCGGGGCACGGCGCCGCTCCTCGCGCTCGTGCCGCTCCAGAACGCGCTGTTGATGGTCGGCTACGGCGCGGGCGAGCGCTGGGGCCGGGGCCTCGGGTCCGCCGCGGCGGAGCCGGCCGCGGCGCCGGCGCCGGCCGCGGTCTTCGCGGGCGGCTGCGCCGGCGGCCTCGCGCAGTCCTTCGTCGCGTCGCCCCTCGAGCTCGCCAAGGTGCGGCGCCAGCTCTGGCAGCCCGCGCCGCCCGTGGGCGCGGCGTTCCGGGGCCTCTCGGCGACGTTCTATCGGGACGTCGTGCCGCACGGCGTCTGGTTCCTCGCGTACGCGGACGCGAAGGCGCGCCTCGAGGCGAGCCGGGGCGCCGACGACGCCACGGTGCCCGTCGTCGCGGGCGCCTGGGCCGCGACGGTGGCCTGGGTCGTGGGCTACCCCTTCGACCTGCTGAAGACGCGGATCCAGGGCTCGCCGACGCCGCTCTCGCTGACGGGCGCCGCGCGGGACCTGCTCCGGCGCGAGGCCGCGCCGGGCGCCGTCAGCGCCGTCGCCGTCCTCTACCGGGGCCTCGGGCTCAAGCTCCTCCGCGCCGTGCCGTCGTCGGGCCTCAACTTCTTCGCCTACGAGTCCGCGAAGCGCGAGCTCGAGGCGCGATGGGCCGTCTAAATTTCTAGCGTCGTTCTCGAGCCCGACGCTGAGACTCGTCGCCCGCACTACAGCTCGCGCCGCCTCTGTTCCATGGCCGCGAGCTTGGCCGCGAGGCCCGCGTCGGCGTCGAGCGGCGGCGTGGCGGGCTCGCGGGACCGGCGCCGCACGGCGACGTGGTACTCCCGCGCGGCCGCGTCCTTCGCGTACCACGCGACGACCGCGCGGACCGCGTCCCGCAGGGGCGTCGGCCGCCAGTCGAGGGCGAGCAGCGCCTTGTGCACGGCCACGGGGCCGACGTCGTGCTGGGGCATAGACGCGACGGCGGTTTCGTCGAGGACGGCGGTCGCGTTCGCCACCTTGGCGACGACCTCCGCCATGTCGGCGACGGTGACGCGCGCGACGTGCGCGACGTGGAAGACTTCGCCGTAGGCGGCTGCTCCGGCCGCGTGCGCGGCGAGCACGGCGTCGACGACGTCCGGCGCGTAGACCCACGACATTTTGGGCGCGGCGCCGGCGGGCTGGCCCCGCGGCCGCACGCGCTCCGGCGGGACCAGCGTCGCGACGGGCCGCCCCGCGAGAATCGGGTCGACGAAGCTCTCGAAGAACCCGCCGAGGTTGTCGTAGACGCCGTAGACGTCCGGCAGGCGGAGCGACGTGTAGGGAAACCTGGGCAGCACAAGGGTGATTCAACGTCGCTTCAACGTGAGTGTTCCGCGCGCGCGTTCCGACAAAAGCATCCACGCTTCGAGACCGTTCCGAGAGATGATCGCTCGTCCAAAAGTCAGCCGAACGAGTGGAAAACGACCGAGATAGGAGCCATTGAAGTTGGGAATTTCGCTCTCTTGTGCTGCCCTGAGGGAAACCGCTCCGACTCCCAGGCCTCGGCCAGGGCCTCGTCGCAGGAGAGCTTCGCGCCGCCGTAGCGCAGCTGGTACGCGCCCTCGGGCGTCCGCGCAGCGACCGCCGCGTGCGCCGCGGCCTCGTCCGGCGGCGGCCGCGCGCAGCAGTCTTCCGCGAGCGGCAGGCCCCCGTCGAGCGGCAGCGGCGTCGCCTGGTAGACCTAGGACACGCGCGTCTTTGGGGGTGTGAGACGCGTACGCCGCACGGGTCGAGACCGAGTCCGTCGAGATGTGCACGAAGTGCGCGCCCGTGCCTCGGAGCGCTCGCACGGCGTCGAGCGTGAACTGCCGTTCGAAGCCGACGAAGTCGACGACGAGATCCCAGGGCCCGCGCTCCGCGACGAGCCGCGCGAAGCGCTCGCGCTGGTTCATGCGGTCGCACTTGAGGTGCGCGAGCTTGCCGCTTGCCACGGCCCGGCGCAGCGTCTCCGGCAGGACCGTGTGGCCGCGATTGAGCATGGCCACCTCCGCGCCGTCGAACTCCAGCAGCCGCTCGACGAGGTGGCGGCCGACGAACTGCGTGCCGCCGATGACGAGGGCGCGGCCTCGGAAGGCGTCGCAACGTCCGAGCAAGGCGAGAAGGGAGAGCGCGCGCATCGTCTGAGGGCAGCCCATCGTCAACATTCAGGTACCTTTGGCTGTCGCGAATAGATCTGCATTGTTCAACTTGCTTTTTGGCCCTTTTTTGATGGAAAAAGTTGATGGAGAATCGTACGAAAGTGCGGCTGCACGAGGGCTGCCGCTCCCGGTCCGGACCGGGCGTCCCGCACACAGATGTGGGCAATGTTTGAGTCAGCAGCCCGCGCGTGATGTGGGCGGTGTTGCTGATGGCCGCCGCGGCGGCCGGGCTGCTGGCGACGGAGGGCCGCACGGCGCAGCAGATCGAGGCCGTCGCGGCCGCGCTCCTCGCCGTCGACGACCTCAACGCCGCCTACGCGTCGGACAACATCACCTTCACGCTCGCGGCGGCCTGGGGCGACTACGACGTCGACGTCGTCGAAGCGTCGACGAACGCGACGGCGGGCGGCTTCGTCGTCCTCGCGCGGCCGCCGCCCTGCGACGTCGGGACGGCGTGGAACGGCACGGCCTGCGAGGCCTGCCCGCCGGGCTTCACGCGCGTCGAGGGCGACGCCTGCGCGCCCTGCGCGCCGGGCTCGTTCTCGGACGACCGCCTGCTCTGCGAGCCCTGCGACGAGTACTCCTACCAGCCGGCGTTCGCGGCGGCGTCGTGCCTCGCGTGCCCGGCGAACGCGAAGCGCGTGTCCCAGCGGGGCCTCGTCGTCGGCGACGGCTCCTCCGTGGACCAGTGCCTCTGCGAGGCCGGCTTCTACAGCACGGCGCCGCTGCCGAACGCGACGGCCTTCGACGACGCCTGGGGCGCGCCGGGCGTCGCGTGCGCGGCCTGCCCCGAGGGCGCCGTCTGCCGCGGCTACGCCTACGCGCCCTACAACGAGAAGAACTACTGGGCGGACCCGGCGAACCCCGCGGTCGTGCAGGAGTGCTACAACGACGGCCAGTGCAAGCGCAAGTTCCGGTGCTTCGAGGCCTACGAGGGCCGCGCGTGCACGGAGGTGCGGACGCACGAGTACTTCCTCCTCGGCGGCGCCCTCGAGCTCAAGTGCCCGTCGACCTTCGGCGCGCGCCTCGCGCTCACGGTCTCGCTCGTGCTCGTCGCCGTCGCCGTCTGGATCTTTTTCAACAGCCTCGTGCTGGCCGAGTGCGAGCTCTTCGACATCCTGCTGAGCTACGTGCAGACCGTCGCCATCATCTCCTCCTTCCACATCTCCTGGCCCAAGCACGCGCGCTACCTCTTCGTGTTTTTCAGCCTGCTCCTCTTCGACGTCGACGCGGTCGCGCCGAACTGCCTCGTGCGGTGGACGAACCGCCACGCCTACGCGGCCCAGTACGGCCTGTGCCTCGTGGGCACGCTCAAGTGGTACAAGGTCGGCGGCCTCCTCGCCGCGAAGCTCTGGCGCGAGCCCGAGGCGCGGTCGTTCCGCGGGGTCCGCGACGCGTTCCGCTTCGAGACGGGCGATCTCAGCGACGTCGCCGTCGACGCGCTCGTGACGTCGCTGACGGTCCTCGACCTGCAGCACTTCATCCTGACCTACAACTTCTTCTCGGCGCGCCCCGGCGTCCCTTTTTTTCTTTCTTCGAGCGCGACGCGCGTCCCCGCGTCGCAGATCTTCAAGTGCTCCGACGGCGACGTCGACGGCGTCGCGTCGTACGTGCTGAGCATGCCCGACATCCGCTGCGAGTCGCGGCTCCACAAGAAGCTGCTGGCCGGCAGCGCCCTGCTCTGGATCATCGCGGGCGTCGGCATCCCCCACGCGATCATGGTCAAGATCTTCCGCGAGTACGCGACGCACGCGGGCTGCCACAGCCCCGCGGTGCTCGCGCGCTTCGGCTGGTCCTTCGAGCGCTTCCGGAGCCCGCTCCACTTCTGGTACATCGTGCTCAAGTGGCGGTCCATCCTCATCTGCGCGATCACGACGCTCGACGACGGCGCGGTCCAGCTCTTCTGCGGGTCCGCGGTCATCGCCTGTGTGGATTCCAAATCTTCAACCCGACTTCAATGTGAGCGTAATCGACGGTTTCGACGCGAGGCTTTCTACCGTGCTTCGAGAACTTCACCAGAGTAATCGATGCGTCCAAAAATCAGCCGAATCGACTTCGATTTGACCGAGATAGAGAGTTCTGAAGTTTGGTGGGGACCCCCAAACCAGTGGTTGATTTCCACACAGGTCATCGCCGTCGAGCAGACGCTGAGCCTGCTGTTCCGCCCCTACGAGAAGACGCTGCTCAACGGCGTCGACACGGCGGGCTTCGTGCTCGTCGCGGCCTTTGCGTCGTCGACGATCGTCCTATTCTCCGACGAGGCGCACCGCTTCAAGCAGACGTGGCTCGTGTCCGTCGTCGCGTTCGTCGTCGCGGCGTTCGGCGCCGTCGCGGTGCACGAGGTCCTCGCGAAGCGCGACCGCCTCTTCAAGCAGGCCGCGACGCAGGAGACGAAGCGGCGGTTTCGCGTCGACGACCACCGGGGCATCCTCTCGAAGCGGCTGTCGGAGTTGCAGCACCGCGCGTCGTCCGTCGCGCACGAGCTCGTCGACAGGGCGCTGCACCACCACGGCCGGTCGAGCCCCTCGAGCCGCGACGCGCCGAAGCACGCGGCGGAGGGCGGGCGGCGCGTCGACCCGGAGCTGCTCCTCGACGCGGTCGCGGAGCTCAGCGACACGCTCTGCGGGAAGCCCTGGCACGCGTTCGTGACGGACCCGGACACGTCGGACGCGGTCTGGGACGACTACCGCGACGCGTCCCTGGCCATCCGGCCCTTCGTCTGCGACGCGTCGCCGACGAGCCGCTACTCCGCGGACGCGCGCGCGTGCTACTGGCGCCTCTTCTGCAAGGCGCGGCCCCGGCGTCCCATTTTCTTCCTCGAGCGCGACCCGCGCCCCCTCCGCAGAACTACCCGGGCGTCATCGACTTCGTCGTCGAGGAGCTCACGCACGTGGAACGGACGATCTACTTCGGGTGCATGCTGCGCCTCGAGCGGTTCCTCCAAAAGGACGGGCACACGCGGCTCCACGATTTGATCGAGGAGGCGGACCGGTCGTCGATCCTCTACTTCCTGCTGTCGGCGTCGAAGGCCGACGCGGACAAGCTCGTCACGGTGCTCCACGGCATCCTCCGGAGCGCGGACGCGGACGCCGCGGCCCGCGGCGACGCGCTCTGCCGGCCCCAGGGCAGCACAAGAGAGCGAAATTCCCAACTTCAAAGGCTCCGATCTCGGCCGTTTTCCACTCGTTTTGGCTGACTTTTGGACGAGCGATCATCTCTCGGAACGGTCTCGAAGCGTGGATGTGTTTTCCGTAACGCGCGCGCGCGGAACACTCACGTTGAAGCGACGTTGAATCACCCTTGTGCTGCCCAGGCCGGCCCCGGCGCGCGCGGACGGACGTCGCGGGCCGGCGGCCCTCCTACGGGCTCCAGGACCTCGCGACGCCCGGCGGCGTCAGCTCGAGCCTCGCGGCGGTCCAGGACCAGGTCAGTGGCCACGCGAACGAGCACCACGCGAAGCAGCACAAGACGACCGTCGAGGACTGCGAGAAGGTCGAGGTGCGGGCCGTGCTCCTCTCGCACGTCGTGACGAAGAAGGACGCCGACGACGAGGCGCCCGTCGTCGTCGTCGACGACGAGATGCCCGAGGCCCTGGGCGAGGTGGCGCGCCGCGAGTCGCGGCGGGCCCTCGTGCCCTACCCGGAGTCGCTCGGCGCGTTCTTCTGCGCGTCCCAAGACGACCCCGTCGTCGGCATCTACGCCTGCGGCGACTGAGCGGGCGCTCGGATGTCGCTAACTTTCGTTCGGTCGAGTCCGAGGAGGAGAAGGAGGCGGCTGTGCCTCAAGCGCCGGGCGTCCTGGGCTAGCGTCCTTCAAGTACCCGGCACGGTCCGAATATATTTGGCTTCTTGGCCAACTCAGTGAGGCCGGGCTGCTTCCGCACCATCGTCGGCGCCGTCAGCGCCGCGTGCCACCACCATGGGCCTCGTCAACAGCGTCGGCTCTCGCGCCATGCGCCCTCCGAACCCGCCGTCCTACGGCCTCGAGGCCGACGGCGACGGCTGGCGCTTCACGAGCCCGCCGCTGGACTACGGCTGCGCCGCGTGGTCGCCGCAGAACAACTACGCCAACGGGTGCCCCATCGGGTTCCCCGGCGCGCGCAAGGCGCGGTCGTCGCACCTCGCGCACACCGTGACGAAGCGGCGCAGCGCGGAGACGGGGCGCGACATCGCGCTGCTCCGCGTCTACTCGACGGAGCCGAGCGCGGCGCGGCCGACGCTCCTCTACTCCAAGGGCAACAGCTTCGACATGGGCATGCTGCGCTACCACTGCGTCCAGCTGGCGCAGCTTTTCGACGTCGACGTCGTCTACTACGACTACGGCGGCTACGGCGCGTCGTCGGGGTCGCCGTCCGCGGCGGGCACGGTCGCGGACGCGAAGGTCGCCGCGGACTACGTCGAGGAGCTCGGCGTCCCCTGGAGCCGCGTGATCCTCTACGGCTTCTCGCTGGGCAACGGGCCGACGTGCGCGCTCGCGGGCGACGTCCTCCGGGGCCGGGGCCTCCGGGGCGTCATCCTCCGGTCGGGCTTCGTCTCGGGCGTCGCCGCGGGCACGGACCTCGTCCAGCGCTACGCCGCGTCCTACGTGCCCGCGGGCGCCCTGCCGAGCTGGATGGACGTCTGGCCCAACGAGAAGCGCTGCGCGGACTTCGACGCGCCGACGCTCGTCGTCCACGGGTCGCGGGACGAGCTCCTGTCCATGTGGCACGCGGAGCGGCTCCTCGCGGCGCTGCCGGAGGGCCGCCGCGCCGCGCCCTTCTTGGAGGACATGGGCCACTTCGACGTCGAACGGCACCCGGCCTACGTGCCGCGGCTCCGGAGCTTCATCCACGGGGAGACCGCGAAGGCCTCGGCGGCCTAAAATAGCACCTCGGTACCTTCATCCACGGGGAGACGAAAATGGAACCTCCGTTACCTAGGGCCTTGGTCCGGCGGCCTCGCCCTTGTCGACGGCCGCCTCGCCCGCGGCGAGCGCGGCGGCGAACGCGTCCTCGTCCATGTTGATCTGGGACGCCTCTACCGTGAGGAGGAATTCGATGGCGGAGCGCAGGTTCACGAAGCAGTAGCCCGCCTTGGACATGAGCGCGGTCGGGTTGTGGAAGGCCTCGACGTAGTCGCAGTTGCTGTGGAGCCGCGGCACGTCCGCGTGGAGGACGACGTAGATGAAAATGGGCAGAAAGTCGTCGGCGCCCGCGCGGCTCTCCGACGTGCCCTTGCGCGAGCTGTTCTCCGCGCGCGCCAGGTTCAGCACCGAAAAGATCATGGACGCGCACCTCACGACGCAGTCGACCTTGTCCGCGGGCGCGCGGCTGTGGTCCATGCGGCGGAGCTCGTCGCGCGCGATGTTCAGCACGACCTCGTTGCAGAGGTGGGCCTTGACGTCGAGGTGGCCCGGCGTCACGAAGCGGCTCAGCGCGCGGCAGCGCCGCCTCAGCTCCGCGTCGCGGCCGTCGTTCCGCACGGCCTCGAACGCGAGCCCGCCGACCTTGGACATGACGTACTTCTCCAGCGCGGACCGCGCCGACGACAGGCCCCGCGCGCCCAGCGCGCTCCACTCGGGCCGCTTCTCGAGGTGCGCCTCGGCCGCGGCGAAGAACTGCGCGCACGTCGCCGGGAGCTCCGCGAGGGCTTCCGTCCGCGCGTCGCCCTCCAGGCCCTCGAACTTGCCCAAAATCTGCAGCACAAACGTGCGCACGTGGCCGACGAGCTCCGCCGACGACGGCTGCATGAGCCGCGTCAGAAACTCCTTGTAGGACAGCTGGCTGCCCTCCGCGGCGTCCTCGGCTTGGCGCCGCTCCTCGCGGTCCGCGGCGGCCTTCGCGCGCGCGGCCTCGCGCCGCGCCGTCGGCGCGTCGGCCTCCGGGGACCGGTCGTACAACCCGAAGACGGCCGCGGACGTCGACGGCTGCGACGGCTTCGGCGCGTCCTTCTTGACGAACGCGGACGCGCCGAGGCCCGCGTCGTCGTCGAGCCCGCGGACCGCGGGCGGCGGCGGCGTCGGCGGCCGCGGCGGCGTCGCCGGTGCCGGCGGCGCGGCGAGTTCGCCGCCGTCGGAGAAGATGTCCGGCTCCGAGTCGGTGCTGCCGGAGCGAGCGGCGTCCTTTTTGAACACGGAGATGCGCCGCATCGCCGCGGGGATCGGCGCGGCGCCCTCCTCGGACGCGCGCTGCTGCTCGAGCGTCAGGCGCCGCTCGGCCGCGGCGACGTTCTCGACGCCGAAGCCCGACGCGTCGAGGCGCGCCTTCAAGATGTCCGACGGCCGCCGCGCGGCGAACGCGGCGGCGTCGGCCGCGTCGCGGAACGCGCCCTCGCCGCCGTCGAAGGGCAGCTCGCCGGACGCGCAGCGGCTCGGCGCCGCCGGCGCCTCGACCTCGTCGAAGTCGGGCTCGTCCAGGTACTCCTTCATGTCGTTGAGGTCGACGTCGAACTCGTCGGCCATGATGGCTCTGCAGCGATGCGGCGGCTGGGCTGGCGCGGGCCGAGGCCGGCGGCGCGTTCGGCGCGACGGCGCGCCGCGGCGACGACGAGACCGACGCGCCGCAGCGACGACGACTCGGGCGACGAGGCCGAGGCGCCGCGGCCCGCTGCGGAGCCGGGCGAGAGGAGACCCACACCTTTTTTTACCACAGACTTTTTTGCAAGTTGCAGCGTTTGTTGAACCGCCTAGAGTTACGCGCCGCGGCGTCGCAGGTGCAGCAGGTACTCGCGGTTGCCCTTCTCCTCGTAGAAGGGGCACTCGAAGGCCGCGAGGGGCTCGCAGTCGTCGAGCTGCGCCTCGCAGAAGGCGCGGACGCCGCCGAGCGCCGCCTCGCGCGCGGCGGCGTCGCGGACGACGCCCTTGCCCTGGCGGACGATCGCGGGCCCGACCTCGAACTGGGGCTTCACGAGGCAGACGAGGTCTGCCTTCGCGCGGGCCCAGGCGTTGGGCAGGATGAGCTCGAGCGAGATGAAGGACACGTCGATGACGACGAGGTCGTAGGCGTCGCGGAGCGGCAGTTTCGCGAGCGCGCCCGCGTCGCGGCAGTTGATGCCCTCGAAGTTGCGGACGCGGTCGTCGCCGAGGAGCGACGCGTGGAGCTGGCCCGTGCCCACGTCCAAGCAGTCGACGGCCGCCGCGCCGTGCTTCAGAGCGCAATCGGTGTAGCCGCCCGTCGACGCGCCGAAATCCGCCGCGGTGCCGCCGCCGGCGAGCGACCGCGCGATGGACGGCCAGCGCTCGAGCGCCGCGTGGAGCTTCTCGCCGCCGCGGCTCACGTAGCGCGTCAGCGAGCCCTCGGCCACGCGGATCTCGCAGTCCGGATGGAGCTTTTGGCCCGGCTTCGTCGCCGCGACGTCGCCCGCGAGCAGCACGGCGCCGGCCTTGACGAGCGCCGTCGCCTGCGACCGCGACGGCGCGAGGCCGCGGCTTAGGAGGAGGCTGTCGAGGCGCTCCTTCGTCGTCGACGGCGCGGCGATGGTTGCCGCCTGCAGCGAGGTCGAGCGCTTGCTGGCGGATGCGCGCATCGTCATCGCTCGTCGCGTTGCAAAGCGCAGGCTCTGCGCCGTAGCAATGAGGAGCATGACCGGGAGCCGCATTGGAAGATGGATTGCGATTTGTGCTGCTGGCGAACGATGGATTGATTTCACCACGGCATCGCTTGGGAATGAGGTGTCCTGCAACACTCTGAAACGTTGGCTCATCATGGGGGGGGTTGCTCCGGCAAGGTCGGCGCCGTCGCGCGACGGCGGCGTCTAAAGTCACTCTTTTTTGCATGCGCCGGGAGAGGTCCGGTGGCTACGCTCGCGTGAAGCAAGCTCTTTCTAACTCGACGATCTCGGCACAATATCCTCGAAAAAGGACCAAATACGAATACGCGCGTTTACGCGCCAGCCATGCGCTGCGTATAGGTGCAGAACGGTCGCTTTTTGTGGTCGGGGCGACGCCCCATGACCCCTGGCGTCGCCCTGGACGGTTGGTGAGTGCCGGAGACGCCGTTTCGGTGTCGGTCCAAAATCCACCCTACGGGCCTCGCTCGTCCACCGCGCTCCTACGGACAAATCCGGCACAGCCGATCTCGCCACCATCGATGGTGTTGGACGTGCCCCTTGGTTTCCGAGTCGACGGTACTATGAAGGTTCGATCGCGCTCAAGATCGTGACTTTCGAGTACCGCGTCGCTGCGCTGGAGGGGTCGGCCGGGGCGCCACTACGGAGCAAACTCCCCCCTGCTCATCGCTGAACCGCTGGCCACAGCGCAAACACGACTTGTCGACTTGAGGTAGCAGAGGAGCGCGTCGATCGAGCTCGCCACGATCAGCACGCCATGTTGTTTGCGCGCGCCGCGCGCAGCGTCGCCAACGTCGGCGCGCCCGTGCTCGGCGTCGCCGCGCTCCAGTGGCAGTTCGGCGCGCCGGAGGAGCGCGTCGGCCGGCCCTGGACCTTCCAAAACACGGTAGCGCGCTGCGACGGCCCCGGCGTCGCCGTGGGCATCGACCTGGGCACGACGTTCAGCTGCGTCGGCGCCTACAGCGCGGACAAGGGCCGCGTCGAGATCCTCGCCAACGCCGAGGGCCACCGGACGACGCCCAGCTACGTCGCGTTCGCGTCCGGCGGCGAGCGCCTCGTCGGCGACGCGGCGAAAGCCCAGGCGTCGCGCAACGCGACGGGCACGATCTACGACGCGAAGCGTTTGATCGGTCGCCGCGCCGGCGACGCGTCCGTGAAAGCCGACGAGAAGCGCTGGCCCTTCGCGGTCGCCGCCGGAAAAGACGGCAAAGCGATGGTCAAGGCCGTCGGCCCCGACGGCGACGCGCAGACGCTCCACCCCGAGGAGATCTCCGCCGCCGTGCTCTCGAAGCTCAAGAAGGACGCCGAGGCGGCGCTGGGGAAGGCGGTGACGAAGGCCGTGATCACGGTCCCCGCGTACTTCAACGACGCGCAGCGGCAGGCGACCAAGGACGCGGGCGCGATCGCGGGCCTCGAGGTGCTGCGCATCATCAACGAGCCCACGGCGGCGGCCCTGGCCTACGGCCTGGGCGGCAAGGACAGCGCGGGCGCCGACGCCGACGCGAAGAACGCCGCGAAGCCCGTCAAGGTCCTGGTCTACGATCTGGGCGGCGGCACGTTCGACGTCACGCTGCTGGAGATGGAGGCCGGCGTGCTCGAGGTGAAGGCGACGGCGGGGGACACGCACCTCGGCGGCGAGGACTTCACGAACGCGTTGGCGGACCACGCGGCGGCGGCCTTCGCCGCGGCGAAGCCCGGGCTCTTCTCCGGCAAGTCCGGCGCCGCGGACGCGTCGTGGCTCGACGCCAAGGCGCGGCGGCGGCTCTACCTCGCCTGCGACACGGCGAAGAAGGCCTTGAGCGCGTCGTCGAAGACGGCCATCGAGGTCGACGCGCTCTACAAGGGCGAGGACTTCGGGCCGCTCGACGTGTCCCGCGCGACGTTCGAGAGGCTCAACGACGCGGCCTTCGACCGGTCCATCCGGTCCGTCGCGCGCGTGCTCAAGGACGCCAAGGTCGAGGCGTCCGACGTCGACGAGATCGTGCTCGTCGGCGGCAGCACGCGCGTGCCCAAGGTCCGGGAGAAGCTCCTGGCGTTCTTCGAGGCCAAGGGCAACAGCCGGCGCACGCTCAACTGCAGCCTCAACCCCGACGAGGCCGTGGCCTACGGCGCGGCGGTCCACGCGGCCGTGCTCGCGGGCGCCGACGCCGACGGCAACCTGGGGGACCTCGTGCTCCTCGACGTCGCGCCGCTGAGCCTCGGCATCGAGACCGCGGGCGGCGTCATGGCGCGATTGATCGAGCGGAACACGACGATCCCGGCGAAGCAGTCCCAGACCTTCACGACGCACGCGGACAACCAGCCGGGCGTCGACATCAAGGTCTACGAGGGCGAGCGCGCGCTCACGCGGGACAACCGGCTCCTCGGCGACTTCTCGCTCGGGGGCATCGCGCCCGCGCCGCGCGGCGCGCCGCGCATCACCGTGACCTTCGACGTCGACGCCAACGGCATCCTCAGCGTCTCCGCCGACGACCAGGCGAGCGGGCGGAGCCAGAAGATCACGATCACCGCGGACAAGAAGGGCGGCAAGCTGAGTCGGGCCGACGTCGAGCGCATGGTCGCGGACGCGGAGGCCCACGCGGCCGACGACTCCGCGGCGCTGGACCGGGCCCACGCGCGCAACGACTTCGAGGCGGCCTGCTACGCCGCGCGGTCCACGCTCGCCAAGGCCGACGCGGTCGACGAGTCCGACAAGACCGCCGTCGAGCGCGAGGTGTCCGCGGCGCTCGCGTGGCTCGAGGCCGAGGCCGGCGCCGACGGCGACGCGGTCCGCGCGCGCCGGGCCGACTTCGACGCCATCGTCCACCCCGTCGTCGCGAAGATCTACGAGAGCCAACAGCCCGACGAGCCGCCGCCGGACGCCGCCGGCGACGACGACCAGTTCTTCGACGGCGACCGCAAGTAACCGGCGTTTAGGGCATGACGGGGAGGCCGCAGGCGACCAGGGCCGCGCGGGCCCGGGCCTGCGCGGGGTCCGGCGCGAGCTCGTCGCGCTCCGCGGCCGTCAGCGGGGCCGCCGTCGGCTCGAGGTACTTCGCCGGCGGCGCGATGATGTCGTCGATGGGCGGCGGCGGCAGGTCGCCGAACATCTCCTGCGTCGCCTCGACGAGCCACTGCGCGGGCTTGTCGTCGAAGGGCCGCGGGTTGTGCGCCGGGTCGCCGCCCCCGCACACGTCGGGGAACTCCCGCTGGTACGCGTCCGCGAGCTCGACGGACGAGAACATGTACTCGCTCGGGTGCGGCGCCGGGTGGTAGTCCGCCTGGCTCTCCTGCCAGCGGCGGTCGAGCTCCTGCGCGAGCCAGGGGTCGTGGTACTTCTCGTGCGCCTCGGCGAAGATCTTCTCCCGGTCGAGGTAGCCCATGTCCTCCGGGTTCGGCGGGAAGGCGCCGGGGTGCCGGTCCTCGGCCGCCGGCGGCTCGTAGAGCCGCGGGTGCCGGACGGGGTCGTCGATGTTTGGGGTATCGCCGGTCGCGGGCTCCGCTGCCGGGGCCGGGGCTGCGGCTGGAGGCGCGGCAGCCATGCTTGCACGGTTACAGGCTGAAGGAGCAGCTCCTAGAGTAAGGAGCACCTACCTTGCATACCCTCTCTCCGCGAGCTCCGCGCCGACGCCTGCGCTCGGCGCAGTCGCTGCTACAGGAGGCCCAGCCGCGCCGTCGCGTGCGCCGTGCGCCGTCGCTGCTGCAGCGCTTGCTAGACATCACAAAATAGTCGCATCGATGCGCGCACAAGCGCTGCTGCTGCTGCTCTGCGCCGCCAGAGCACATGCGCTCGCGACGCTGACGCGGCGGCGCTGCCTCGCCGGCGCCACCGCCAGCCTCGCCGGCGCCAGCGCCATCCTGGCGCCGGCGGCGCCCGCCGTCGCGGGCTACTCGTCGGAGACCGTCGCGAAGGCGAAGGAGGCGTGGGCCGTCGCGGACCCGAGCCGCGCGCAGGACTGGGTGCCGCTGATCGTCGCCGGCGACGGCGCGCTGGGCGAGCTCCTCGACAACTGGCCGGCGATCACCGCCAAGAACGACGGCGACGCGGTCCGGCGGTACCTCGGCACCGTCGGCATCACGTCGCCGCTCTTCAAGATCCGCCCGGCGCTCGCGGCGATCATCAAGGCGCGGGACCTGCCGGACGCGTTCGACGTCGTCGCGTTCGCGGAAGTCTCCGAGGAGTTCCTGAGCGACCTGCAGGCGGCGGAGGGCGCGGCCTACGGCGCCAACTTTGCGGACTTTTCCACGAGCGTCGGCAAGGGCGGCCTGTCGCCCGCGGCGACGCAGCTGGCCAAGTGCCGGGAGGACGTCAGGCGCCTGAAGAAACGGTCCGGCGAGCTGGTCGCGCTCCTCGGGCCGCTCCGGAAGTAGGTTCGCGAGTCTCAATTCGAGGGGGTGGTTAGGGGGTCCGAAGGGGGGCGGGAGAGAGTCGGCGGCGCGGCGGGCGCGCGAAGAGGCGGCGGCGGGCCGCGGCGGCGCGCCGGAGGTCGGGGGGACGCGCGCGCTCCCCGCCGCGGGAGCGGCGGCGCGTGCTGGAAGCGGCGCCCGACTTTAGAGGATGGTGCAGGCGCCGGACTTGGCCTTCTCGCCGCCGCCGCCGCCGCCGCCGCCGTGCTTGGGCTTGCCGCCGTTCTTCTCCGCCTCCCACTGGAGGAGCCAGACGATCTCGGCCTGGTAGGCCTTGGAGCTCACGAAGTTCCAGGCCTTGATGTCGAAGTCCTTGTCCTCGAGGGACACCTCGGCGCCGAGGGACTCGAACTCGCCGATCGCGTCCGCGTCCTTGGCGTTGATGGCCTTGCCCGGCGCGAAGGGCGGCTCGATGGTCTCCGCGACGATGGCGTCGAAGTCGAGCTCGGAGAAGTACTGGTGGTCCATGATCTCCTGGCAGCCGCCGGCGCCGAGGCGCTTGTCCGGGTCCTTGTTGAGGAGCTTCTTGCAGAACTCGCGGCAGTGGCTCTTCTTGAAGTCGGGCTCCGTCCAGATGTCCGCGGACATGTCCGGGTTCATCTCGAGGATGGCCTGGGCCATCTTCGCGCAGGCGTCCTTCTTCTTCGCCGCCTTGGCCGCCGCCGGGTCGCCCTCGTCGTCCTTCTTCTTCTTCTTCTTCTTCTTCTTGCCGCCCCAGTTCGCGGCCTCTTTCGTCCGGAAGGGGCAGACGCCGAGGATGAACTCGACGAGCATGCAGCCGTAGGAGAAGTAGTCGACGCGCTGGTCGTAGACCTCCTTGCGGAGCATCTCCGGCGCCATGTAGCCGGGCGTGCCGCTCGCGCCCTTGAGCTCCGTGTGCACGCGGCACGCGAGGCCCAGGTCGCTCAGGCGGATGCGGCCGCTCTCGTCGACGAGCATGTTCTCGGGCTTGATGTCGCGGTAGACGATGTTGAGCTCGTGGAGCGCCTTGAGGCCCAGGATCGTCCGCGCGGCGTAGTACTGCGACCGCTTGTAGTCGAAGGTCTTGTGCTGCGCGAGCCAGTACTTGAGGTCGCCGCCCATCATGAGGTCGATGACGAGCACGAGGCGGTTGCGGTCCTTGAAGGCGAACTTGAGGTTCACGGCGAAGGGCGAGTCGAGCTGCTTCAAAGCCCAGTGCTCGTTCCAGCAGAGCTCGAAGGCCTTTCGTCGCTTGATGCGCTTCATGCAGATCTCCTTCATGGCGTACATCTTGCCCGTGGCGAAGGTGCGGCAGCCGTAGACCATGCCGAAGCCGCCCTTGCCCAGGATGCGGAACTTGTTGAAGTCCTCGGGCGTCAGGTTCGTCTCCTCGCGGTACCGGTACTGGAGGTACTCCTTGCAGAATTCCGACGCCTTGAACTGGGGGATGTAGCCGCCGAGCGTGCCGACGACGAGGGCGTCGAGCTTGTCGAAGGCGTCGGGCTGCGTCGTCGTCGGGGCCAGATCCGTCGCCTTGGCGGCCGTGATCGGCCACGTGCCGTGGCCGCTCCGCGTGGACCCGCGCTGCGACTTGCCCTTGGAGCCGCGGTTCATCATCGTGCCGCCGACCTTCTGGTTCTTGGGCACGGGCTCCTCGCCCGGCAGAAAGGTCCGGCACAAATCGATCTGCGCGAAGGGGATCTTGTCCTTCTTCGGCGGGCCGCCTCCCATGTAGCTGGCCTTCATGGCCTCCTGCATGGTCTTGCGGTGCGCCTCGCTGAGCGACCTCTTGTAGAGGACGCAGTCCATGACGAAGCAGCCCATGGCCAGCGCCACCTCGCCCTGGCCCTCGAGGAACCGCGTGAACTCGTAGAGCCCGAGCGGCCCGGACATGATCGCCGCGACGGTGAACTCGCCCTTCATCTCGAGGTCCGCCGTGAACGTCTTGATCTGGGCGTCGTCGACCTTGGCCATGGCCTTCTGGGGGTCCGGCGTCTCCATCTGCATGGCCGACGCGTACTTGACGTCGGCCATGAGGTCATTGAGATCCATGGTCGACCGCGCGTAAGGCCCCGGAGGGTTAACCCGCGCGACCGCGCCTCACGCCCCCCGCGGCAGGACGCCCCCCGGTCGTCCCGGGGTCGATGGAGACGGCGCCCCCGGCGGGCAGGCTCAGCCCCTCTCGTAACCGCAGAGCAGCCTTTGAGGCGCTTCGCCACTCGATAGTAACGCGTTGATGAAGATATCGGGAGAAACGCCTGCTTCATGTTGAAGTCGAGTCGACGCTTGAACTTGAAGCCCGATTGTTGAAGCAAATATCCGCCCTCTCCCGACCGCGAACCCCGCCACCCGGCGCATGTACACGTAAGCCCCCCACTGTTACCACAGCGCCGTCCCCTTGGGGTCGCGCCACTGGGGCCGCGGCCGGGGTCGCGGCGGCGGCGCGCGCTTCTTCTTCCGCCGCCGCGGCGCGGGCTCCGCGGCCGCGAGGGCCGCGGCGACCTCCTCGTAGGCGCCCCAGGCGCTCTCGACGCCGTCGCGGGCGCGGAGCTCCGCCGACGCGGTCACGGGCGGCGGCGGCGGCGACGTCGAGCCCCGGAGCGAGCCCGGCGACCGGAGGCTCGGCGGCGGCGACGCGCCGCGCGGCGACGCGCGGGACGGCGACGACCCGCGCCGCGGCGACGCCCGGGACGGCGACGCCGGCTCCGCGCGGGGCGCGCGGCCCGCCGCGGCGAGGATCGCGTAGGACTTGGCCGCCCGGTCGACGAGCTGCTCCTGCGCCTTCTCCGCGAAGGCGTCGATGGCCTCGTGGCCCTCGGCGAGCTCGTCCTCGAGATCCTTGGCGAGGCGATCGAGGTCCGCGAGGCGCTCCTTCATGCCGCCGCGGGGCGCGACGACGTAGGGCGCGGGCGACGGCGGCTCGCCCCCGGCCGGCGACGCGACCGGCGACGGGGCCTCGTCGGGCTCCTCCCGCGGCGGCCGCTCGCCGCGGATGTCCGAGACGTGGAGGAAGGGCCGCGGGTGCGCCGCGACCGCGTCGCCGTCGAAGATGAGGCCCTTGGACACGGACCCGTCGCTGTCGCTGTCGTCGGACTCGCGGTCGAGCGCGGCCGCGGCGCGCAGCGCGTTCGCCGCGCGCGCCTGGCGCGCGAGCACGTCCCGCGCGTTCCGCGCCGCCTCGGCGCGCTTCATCGACGACGGCACGACGACGCGGCCGTCGACGACGTCGAACGCTTCGCCGTCGGCCTGGCACGCGAAGCTCTGCGTCGCCACGGCCGGCGGCGACCGCGGCTTCGGCGGCGACGTCGGCAGCGCCGGCGACCGCGGCGGCGTCGCCTGGCGCGGCGGGTCCGCCGGCGGCGGCGCGGGCGCCTCCGCCTCGTCCCGCCGCGCGGCGAGCCCCGCCTTCCCGGCGCCCTTCGGGAGGCCGAGCGCGAACTCGAGGCGGTGGACCTCGAGGTCGCGCTCCGCGGCGCGCTTCGCGTCCTCGGCGCGGGCCGCGTCGTAGCGCTTCGCCGCCTCGTCGACGCCGCGCGCGAGGACGTCGAGGCCCTCGTCGTCGTCGCCGCCGCCGCGGCGCGCCTTCGCCGCGTCCGCGTCGCCGGCGTCGACGATGTCCGCGAGGTTGCGCCGGCCCTCGTCGATCATCTCGGCGTGCGTCGGCTTGCCCGTGGGCGACGGCTCGTAGGTCGACAGGCGGAAGCGGCGGTCCGCCTCGGCCGAGTTCGCCGACGACCGGGGCGTCGCGGACGCGCGGCGCCGGTCGTCGGAGCGGCGGTCGTCGGAGCGCCGCAGGGGCGACACGCTGCCGGGCCCGTCGCGCCACTCGACGGACTCGGTCATGGGCGCGGCCAGCGGCGTCCGCGCAGTCGCGGGCCGGCCGGAGAAGGCGTCGCGCGTCGCCTCGGGCGTCTCGGGCCGCGGCGACCGCGCGGGCGCGCGGGGGATCCAGGACACGCGCGCGTCGCCGGCGTAGGACTCGCCGTCGGAGCTCGACAGGCCCGTCGGCGGCGCCGTAACCTCCGTGTCCGTCGCGCTCGGGAGCGCCGCGGCGACGTCGACGAAGAGGTCCTGCCGCCGGTCGCCGCGCGGCCGCAGCACGTCCAGCGCCGGCGGCAGGTCCGTGGGCTTCGCCGCCGCGGCCTGCGTCGCCCGGCCGAGGAAGGCCCGGAGCGCGTCGTCGGCCGCGCCGGGCGCCGCGGTCTCGTAGCGCGGCCGCGGCCTGCTCTTCCGCGCGGCCTGCTCGGCGGCGCGCCGCGCGTAGGCGCTCGTCCAGCGCTCGCCGCGCGCCGAGCTCCGCATGACCAGCGACCCGGACGGGTCCAGGCCGTCGGCGGAGCTCATGCGCAGCAGCTTGAGGGCCGCGGCGGAGGCGAGGGACGCGTGGAGCGACGCCTCCGTCGACGCCGACGCGACGCTGTCGTCGCCGCCGGCGAGCGAGTCGCCCATGACGCTAAAGAGCTCCGGCGACTCGGGCGAGCTGCCGCCGCTCTCCTCGAGCGAGCCCAGCGGGGACTCGTCCATGCTTTCTGTCGGCTGCTCAACTGATTTGTCGATGGTGCAGACTTCATCCACGAACCACCCCCAGTGCAGCCCGCGGTTTTAGCGCAGGCATGGGGCAGCCGAAATTCACGACCTAGTGAGGTGCCGCTCGCTCGAACCATGCAGGCGCGGTCGACGAACCGGTCGCCGCCGCGCGCGACGCAGAAGACGTCGCCGCGGAGCACGCAGCAGGCGCGGTCGACGACGAGCTCGCCGCGGAGCACGACGCAGACGCCGCGCTCCGCGTCGCCGCGGAGCACGCTGTCCCCGCGGAGCGCGCAGTCGCCGCGGTCGGCGAGCCCGCGCTACAGCACCTTCCGCGGCGGCGACTTTAGCACGGGCGCGCGCGGCGCCTACCACCGCCCCTACGCGGAGGACGACATCGCGGAAGCGTCCGAGTCCGTCGACGCGAGCGACCCGTCTCGGTCCGTCGCGTCCGCGGCGTGGACGGCGGCGGACGACAGGTCCCAGTTCGAGGAGCAGCGGCGCGGCGCCTTCGAGATGGAGGAGCGGCGCACGCGCATCCTCAGCGCCATCGGCGAGGACGACGACCGGCCGAAGCGGCTGGTGTGCTACGTCTGCGGCGGCGAGTTCGAGGCCACGAGCCTCGGCGCCCACATCCGGAGCTGCCGCCGGCGCCGCGAGCAAACCCAGAATTCATGGCCCCGGAGCTGGCGCACGGACGAGGGCGAGTGGCCCGAGAACGTGAGCGTGCCCCGGTCCGCGCGATCGCCGCGGTCCGCGTTCGACGCGTACAACGGCCTCGCCTGGAACGTCTTCGTGAACTCCTGCGCGCGGAGCTGCGGGACCTGCGGCAAGCCCTTCGGGGGCGGGCCGGAGGAGAAGAAGGCCCACGCCTGCGAGGGCGTCGCGGCGCGGCCGTCGTGGCTGCCCCGGTGCCTCCCGAAGAGTTTCGACGCGAAGCTGCCCGAGACCGACGACCTGGCGCTGCTCGCGCGGTTGAACGGCCGCGACGAGCGGTCCGAGGCGTCGGCGAACGCGGACCCCTGGGGCCACGCCATCTTCCACACGTTCAAGCACGCGGGCTTCGGGCCCGTGACCGAGCCTTTGTCCCGGTCCGTGCTCGCGCGGGTCTTGCGGGAGCTGCGCCTGCCGGCCGACGATGGCGCCGTGGACCGCTTCCTGGAATTTTTGGACGTGCAGTCGGCGGACGAGGACGTGCTGCGGGGCCAGCTCGTGGCCTTCTGGAACGGCGAGCACGACCGGCTCTGCCGCCGCGCGCTCGAGCGCGACGAGAGCTCGCAGTCGCTCGCGATCGACCCCATCGTCGCGACGCTCTTCGAGGAGGCGCGCCTGACCAACGCCCAGGCGCCGGCGCTGTCGCCGCGGCCGCCGGAGGACCGGGGCCTCGTCGTCAGCGACAGCGTGTCCGAGGCGATCCGCCGCGGCGCGGCCGTGGAGCAGCTCCGGGGCGGCCTGGCGGACGCGAACCCGCTCGCGGCGGCGTCGGTGTCCAAGGCGTCCGTCGGCGAGGAGGCGAGCTTCTGGTCCGCCACCGCCGGCGGCGACGGCGACGCGCCCTTCTCGCCGGGCGGTGACGAGGCCGCGCTCCGCGAGGAGATCTCGCGGCTCCGGGGGGACCTCGCGGCGGCCGCGGACGAGCTCGAGCGAAATCGCGCGGCCGAGGCGCGGCGCGGCGACGACGCGGCGCGGCGCGACGACGCGGCCAGGGCCGCCGACGAGGCGCTGAAGCGCGAACTCGCCGACTCGGAGGCCGCGCGCGACGCCGCGCTCGCGGCCGTCGCGTCCGCGGCCTCGGACCTGGACCGCGCGCGGCTCGCCGTCGACGACGCGCGCGCGGAGGCGGCGCTCCAGGCCCGGGCGCGGCGCCGCGCGTCGGCGACGGC